TTGGCATTCCACTAGGCTTGTTAAAATCCAGTTGATAAAGGCAGATGGTCTGTAAGTGCTGCAAGAGGCAATGTGCAACACTGTGCAAGGATGTTTAAAAGACCATCAGTGATCATCTACTGCAACTCTGCCCCACCAAGTTCTTTAAGAGCTGGCCAAGGAAACTTGGAGCTTAGCTTCTTGGAGATGATTTAATCTTGGGGAATTTTAAGAGGCAGAAAGCATGACATTGTTAGAGCAGGAGACAGAACGACCAGGCATCTGCAGACTACTTTCTCTGACATCACAGACAAAATAATGGAAAACTGATGAAGGACTAAATAGATAATTTCAAGGCTAGATACACAGCTAATGCCAAACAACAGTGTTCTATGGAAAACAAGTCTGTTTATAACTACAGCCTGTTTAATTCTTAGAAACAGTTTGGCTGGTAGAGGTAACAGTGGGTGGGCACATCAGAGAATGAAATCAGGGAATATGGCAGAGCAAACTCAGCATTCACCATTAGAAGAGCATGCACTACACAAGTTAACCTCTGCCAGCATCCTTACCAAATAGGTGTTTAAGCAAGGCGTTGCAGGACCAGTATCAGGGTCAGACATGTGGAACTGTCTCAACAATCTGGAAATAAATACAAATTCAGTAAAATGTTTTCTGGAAAAGGTTGAAAGAATAGAATATAACAGTAGGGTTAAGGTGGTTGTGCAGAATAATTTCAGATTCTGGTCACATGAAAATGCATGACCTTTTTCATATAGTCAAACTACAAGGTAAGAAAACTTGGACCAATGTCTGTAGGGACCACCAGGAGAAGAGGGTCATCTCAAGGCACATACTGACTCTAAAGAATGATCAAGCAGCCCAACACAAATTCCAAGGAGATGCTGAGACATGATGGACCAATGAGGTCCATGGATGTTAGGAATTTTAATGGCCTGGGATTTATGAAGGTTGGATGTGATGATATCATTATACTTCCTGCCTTCACCATCGTGAATGGTATCTATAGCAGAAGGGCTTGCTTCCACAATGTAAATGGCAACCCTTTTAAGTACAATTGCTGCAGAAGCTCTGCTTGTGCAGGCATAACAACACAATCTAACACATTAGATCCCATTTCTTGGCAGCATCCCCACAAGTTTCGCCCCATATCTAAATGCAGCAGCAACCCCAGGTATGCCCAAAGATCTCTTGTTATCAAATCCTTTTAACAGTTCTCTTGAGAGAACTCCACTTTGCCACCAAAATTTTTAATTGTTCTACTATACCTAGGGAGAATATAATCTTGTGGCATCCCACCCTTCAGGAGAACAGAGCACCTAAGATTTGCAGATGCTTGTGGACAAAAGAAACAGCAAAAGGCAGAGAGCCCCCAAAATCTCAAAAAGTTCTATTAGTAAATTACACGATCTGCATGGCAACTCTTACGTTAGTCTCTGACCTCCTATAAACACATAAGCACAGGGTTTAGGATCAAGGAGGGATGTCAAAGGGAAGAGAGAAAAAGAGAGAGATGTATTAAAGAGAAGAAGGGAAGGGACAAAGAAAGAGAGATCAGCAGTCCTAGCTCCATCACTGATGCAGATGATGGGGTGTTCAGGGTTCTGGGGTACACACACACACCTGGACTTTGTGGGGGTACCTTTTTTTAGATGAGTTTCCCTGCACTGGAGGTAAATGTCTCTCTTTCTGTGTAATTTAGTTATTGTGGAAATGGGTTGGAGGCTTCAGGGTATTTGGTGGTCTCCATATCCTCCTACAGCCCATGCCTGCTTCTTGACCTCATCCCTACACGTGTGCTGTGCTGTGTTGTGCTTATCTCCAGGAGCCACGATAAAGATGTTTGTCCCAGAAATGTGCTGCTCTACTTCCATGTGGCCCCTCCTCCAGGCACATTCTGTTCACTGTCCCAGTGTGTTATTGCTAACAATCCCTGGCTGCTAGTACCAACAATCCTTGGTTGCCTCCACAGCCACCCAGCTATCAGCATTTGAGATTAGCCCCATTATTTTCTGGGCTTCTACACAGATTCCCTGCAAACTCAGCTCAAAGCTGAAGGTCAAGATTGGTCTCCTTATATTGAGCCTCTTCCTTGCAGAGCTTGCGTACCTGGATTATGCTGATTCTCTGAGGCTAGTGCAATATATTTTGGAAAAAGGTAGTGCTGTTGAAGAGGGGTCATCAGGGTCAAAGCTGTGAGACCAGTTTTCAGCAAATAGCAGTATTCTGTTAGACCAGGTGATATAAAAAAGCAAAAACGGGGCACTAAGAAAATAAAATCTTCAGAATAGATAGCAAAAACTGCTCTGAACGTCAGCTCAGTCAGACCAATTGTCCAATGAGCCTGAGGGGGAAGGGTTGGTAGTGTGGAAAGTGGGAGAGAGCATTAGCAACAGGGAAGATAGTACCACCTGAGCTTGTCAAGAAGACATGGTTTTACTGCAACACAGAAGTAGAGCGGACTCCTGAACTAGGAACAGGGCGGTATTCTTAACACAAACAGTCTTCTCCACTCAATGTCATAGGCAAGAAGAATGCCAAAGCACCGGAACAGTGAAGTCCAGCCAGTGGCATGTGAACTGCAGCCTATTTCAGAAACCTGCAGAAAGTGACTGAGCAAAACAATCCTGCAGTAAGCTGAAATAGCCTATCTGGATTTGCAACTGCACCAGACTATTATTTACTGGCTGAAAAACTGAAGAGGTTGCAAATCCTTGTAATAGCACATAAAAATCTTGACACAGGCAGTAAGTAGAATTTGCCTGCCAGGTCTGGTCAAACCTTCACAGTGTTTAGTGCAGGGTCTTCTCTCCAAGTCTGATGTACTGAATCACAGGATTATTAGGTTGGACAAGACACCAGAGAGTGACTCCATTCCGTGACTGATCAGCAACTTGGCAATTAGAACAGAGCACTAATTATCACGTCCAGTCATTTCCTGAACACTTCTACCACCTCCCTGGACAGTTCATTCAAATGCTTCACTACCTTTCAGTGAAGAAATTCCTCCTGATCAATATTTAAAGTGAAGGTCTTTGTACCCAAGCTTCCACCAGTTTATTCCTTTAGCTCTCCCCTGGAAGCTTTGTCAGTGCAGTATACCATTTTCTCATATTTACTCCATATACAGCAGAAAGAGCTTACAACACTTTGGTCCTGGTATCCCTGCTTAGTTTTCTTCCATTCCAAATGCTCTTGGGCTGGATTCTGTGTGATTTTCAGACACATTCCAGCTGGCACTACACCATCTGACAACAGCTTCCCAAGAGCTCTCAGCCTTTGTTGTTTTGTGCTGCACACCAAATTTCCATCTTGATTATCAAAGGATTGCCAAGCCATGATCGAAGAATGCTAATAATACTGATTAAATCCACACAGATTATGGAGCTGCAGACATGTTTGTCACAAAGCTTGTGAAACTTTGTTTACAGCTGTAATTAATTGTCCCCCTGCAATAGTAATAAAACAGAGTATCAACAGCTGCATCAGGAAAATCAACAATACCTGTGCACTGTTTGGTCTGAAATTCAAAGGACTCTGTATCTTACTGAGAAAAAATGGGAACAGGGAGATCTTGCAGTTCCTCAGCAGTAGGATCTGTTGTAGCTGCTGCCCATCTATGCAGTAAATGTCAAGAATGCAGATTGGTTAAATCTATCTACTCTATGCAGAGCAGACAGAAGCATGAAAAAACTGATTAATTTTCAGATACTGTTTAGGGTAAAATCAAATTTCATGCCCTTTCTACTTGCATGGAGAATATGGGCTCAAGGGACAGAGGATGAGCAAACAGCAGTAAGAAATATCAGACCACAGCAAAGGTCAAGGGCCATGGGACATCATCACTAGTGGCACTAGGGGCTGAACAGTCCTGAACATCACCTTCACTAGCCCTGCCTACTCAGCACCAAGCAGGGGCCAATTTCCACACAAGGTAAGTAAGCCTGGCTTTAACATGCCAGGCCTTGCACTGATACCCAAAGGTAAGGACAATTGCATTTTGGGCAACCAGAGGTGTTGTACACATTGGAAAAAATTTACAGCAGGAAAAAGCCAAAATGCAAGAAACATTTTTGGGTTTTTTTCGCTCTCCTGACTCACAACCCAAAACTTCTCATCTCAGGGAGTCAAGCATTATTGACTATCCTTTCTTGCCATCCATTAGGATGCTGCACCAAGCTGCACCAAGTTCTCTAGCACAATTTGGCTGTGCCAATCCCTCTCTGGTCGCCATTAATCCCCACCATACTTTACTTGACCTTCTAGTCCTGCAGTGCAGCTATCTTTTATCCTGGACTTCTCCAGTGTCAACAGGGTGCCTCTCTGTGTCCCGCCTCACAAGAGGAGGAGACATTTACATTAATGTAAGTGCAGAACTGGTTCAAAAATGCACTGTTCCTAAGCCACGGAGGTTCCTCACGGGGCCCCTTCATGGTATCCCTCACGGGGGCTTCTCAGGGTGCTCCTCTCAGGGTGTCCCTCACAGGGTTCCTCACGCGGTCCCTGACAGTGTTCCTCAGAGGAATCCTCGCATGGGCTCTCTCGGCGGGTTCCTCAGGGGATCACTGGTGGGATGACTCGGGCGGCCCCTCCATGGGGGACGTCTGGGTGTCCTTTACCGGGGCCCCTCAGCGGAGCTCTCATACAGCCCCCAGGCAAGGGCGTCCCTCAGGGCGGCCCTCACGCGGCCGCGGCCCCGCTGCCCCCGCCCCTTCCTCCCGCCCAGCGCGCGCCGAGGAAGGGGCGGGGCCTCGATCACGTGAAGGCGAAAGGAAGGGGCGGGCATTCCCCCCCGCGCGCGCGCTTCTCACGTGGTCACCGGGAGGGGGCGGGAGGCAGAGGCAGAAGAAGGCGCCGGTGGATGGGCGCGCGCTGGCGGTGCGTGAGGGGCGCGGGGCGGGATTGCGCGCGACAGCGTCACGTCACGCACGTCGCATCACGTGGGAGGGGGGAAAACGACCCCGCGCGCGCGTGGAGGAGGAGGAGGAGGAGGAGGAAGGGGAGGTCACGTGACGGTCGCGGGTGCCGCCGCCGCCGCTTTGTGAGCGCACTGGGCAGGTACCGGGCGCGCGGGGCCCCCTCACCCGCCTCCGTCCCCGGCCAACGGTCCCCGCGCGCGGCCGCTGCCCCCCTCAGCCGTCTCCGAGGCCCCGCGGGCCCGGCCCCGCTTTGTCCGGCCGGCGGTCCCTCGGTCCGCGGGTCGGTCGGTGTCCGCCCGGGCCGCCCAGCCCCGGGCCGCCCGCCGACGGGTTGCGGGGGGACGCGGCTTTGCCCTACTTTCCGTGGTGGCCGCCCCGGGGAAGCTTCGCCCTGGCCTAGATCGCCGTCCCTCCCCTCCGCCCCCCTCCTCTCCCGCTCAGCAGGGCCGCGGGTGCGGGCAGCGCCCACCTGGCTGGGGAGGGGGTGCCCGCTTGGCCCCGGGAGAGGTGGGTTCCCTCTGCACCCCTGACATCCGCGGGAGGGGGTCCACCTTCGAGGAGGGGTTCTTATCTCAACTTGGAGGTGCTCGTGTCATACACCGAGGGTTTCCCTCGGGTGGGTTTGTGTCTCTAGCTCGGGGGGATGTGAGGAAAGCGGAGCTAGCTGGACCCCGCAAATGAAGAGTGGGGCTGGCGGCAGGAGTCAGGCCAGAGGGTAGGTGGCAGTTCGAGAAGCGAACAAGTGGAAGATGAAGTATCGATCTGTGACTTATGCAGGTCTTTACTTCCATGTTGTTACTCATCCCCTTCCCGGGTATTCCCTCGCTGGTGGTGGGGGGTCACAACTACAGACAATAACATCTCAGTAGCTACAGTGGGTTATTTGAGGACATGAGAATGAATGAACCGTTCCCTCTGTTAACCTTCTCCACCTTAGTCCTTCCTTGCCATCTTGCTACGTGGTTGCTTGGAATTGGGTGTCACGGCAGGGTTTCGCTATTGGTCTGACTTATGTTGCCTTTAAAAACAACAAATAAAAAATTCTTCTGTGTTTTCTTCTGTTGCTGATGAAAATTGCAGTAGGGAAGTGAACTGGTATGCCTATTCATTTGCACGAAGCTGGATGTAGAAAGGACCTGGTGCATGTATGAGTCTAATGGCAAGGGTCTGAACTCTCTGATGTGGAATAGTTTTAAAAGCTTGTGCTGGAATGTCTGCACTGCTCTTGAGTGCCACCTGGAAGCAGGGTGGACTGGTTTACTTTTCTTTTGTAAGTGTGTTAGCACAGGAGTGTGGATGTGCAGAGCACCTTCGGTATGTTCAGAGGAACGGGATGTCTTGTGGAGCAAAAACTCGGGGTTTGCTACGGAGCTGTGTGAAGAATAGCTATGGAAGGGGAATGGAGGGGCTGTCCTGGCCTGAGAGCATCTGTTTTTTTCCAAGCAGAGAAATTGGAGCTGGATGTGAGGGAAGGCAAGGGAGGGGGAGCAGTACTTGCCATTGAAATAGAGCCCTTCACAAAAAATGGCAGCAACTCAGCCTCCCGGCTTTTACTTCTTTAGTATTTACCAGGCCCTCTTAGCAATTCCCTTGGTTGTATCACGTTCTCTAATGGAATCTGGGTTTGGATTCCTACCTGTCTGACTCAGTATTTATACCTGGACCCAATCGCTCTGCGGTGGTTTGACCTAACTTGTTTAAAGAATTTATTTTTAACGTTATACTAGGTAACTTGAAAGCAAGCCAGGCGAAATCACTTTGCAGGATTAATGATGTTTTGTGACTCTTGAAAACTAGCTGACTTCTGTGTTTATAACCTCAATAGTCTTGGTAATCTTGGAGGTGGGGACGAGTGGGACTTGGACAAGCTTTGTTCTACTTTGTTCTTGTTGTAGTTTTATCAGTGTGTTGATTTTGAAAACTGTCTGTCGTAAAAAAAGTGTGACATTTCTGAAATTTTGACTGTTTCAGTTGTTTTGGCCCATCCTTCATAAAACTCCTGGTGCCATGACTTGCAAAAGGGTTTGATCATTTGAGGGGATGTGGAAGCTACAGACTCACTACTAAAATGTAAGGAAGATAAGGGAAAAATAATCTTGTCTGTTACCAGAAGCTGTTCTTTTTAAGGTTCGTTCGTTTGTTTGGTTGGCTACTCTGCTTTTTTTTTGAAGCTGTAGTTCTAGAACCTAGAAGTAGTTTGTTGATGCTCTACATTTCTTCCATTAACTTTTATTTTAGATTATGATTTCCTTGTAAAGTGCCATTTTTTGGTGAGCTTTGTTTGTTGCTGGCGTTGTCCTGTTGATATGGTCATAGCAGAGTAACATGCTGATGAACAGTGCTTGAAAGGTGTGTATGTCATATACTGTTAATGCTCTATTAATAATCAGCACTGAGAGTCTTACTATTAGTAGTAATGTGTACTTGCAGTTTCAGTCACATTTAGTACCTATACTTAGAATAGGCACGTTGTGAAAGACACAGAGTAAAACTTTGGATCTGTTTTGAATCTTTTTATTCATCTTTGTTTATCTTTGTTTCTTATTTGGTTGAAGCACATTGGGCAGGATTCTGAAGACTCATGTTCAGTGCTTTGCAGCAGCCTTGTATGACCTTGCTGAAAGAGAAACCAATTGACTTGTCCCTCTGTAAAATACAGATTAGAGAAACTGTATTGTATTTTTACACTTCAGAATTTTTGAGTGGAAGGTGCTAGAGGAAATACAATTGATACCTACTGCAGTGTTGTTATTTTGCTAGAGCTTTTGGTGAATTTTAGGTTTATTTCTGATACAGTCTGTTTACTTGTAGCCCATTGAATCCCCTGTGATTTCCAGAGACCTAGTTTGGACTTGCACTGTTTTTCATATAACTTCCCTAAACAGGTTACATTCATTAAAGTGAGAGCTGGGATGAAAGGTTGTGAAATGCCTCCTTTGCAATTACTTCAGGTTCATATTTTACAAAAACTGTACAAAGGGTTTGTCTGTTTTGCTCTAACATGAAAGTCCACACTCTTTGATTTTGGCCATCTGCACTGGGAGTCTGTTGGAAGTCCCCATCCGCCTGGGGCTCCTGGAAGGTTGTTCCTTCCATAGGTGTGGTACCCTCGGCCCTCCTCTCCTTATTACTTTTTAATGCTTCAAGGAGTAAACAGGGACTAAAGACAGCCAGTTTAGAGGTGGTATGGTTTGATGCCTAAGATCTCGTGGCTTGCTCAGCCCGCTTTTACTACATCATAAATATTTTGCTGAGCATATTGTTTTACTTATGGTCTCTTTAGATTGTAAAACCTGTAAAATAGGTTATGTTAAGAACTTTGTGCAGCTCCTTTGGATGGGATTGTTTCTATTCTCAATGCTATTGAAATTCTATTACTTTTTGTCCAGCTGTCTTTGTGGAACCTGCGCAATATTGTGGCTTCTTTTGAAGGTAAAACTGTCAAGCCTTTTCCCCCTCTCTCCCCAGGCTTCTTAAATCAGTCTCCCAGCAGATGAGCTTGGAGGAGTCCTTAACCTGGCTGAGTGTACCATTTTGCATTAAAAACAATGAAATGTTTCCTATGTTGAGAGAGCTTTGATCTTTCTTGAGACTTAAGGTTTGCCTGAAGTAATACTCTTATGGTGAACTTTATGGTTTTGTTTTTCTGCTGTATCATACAGGAAATACAGCTTATTGCTATAGAAGATGTAGGTTCAGTGGAATTGGTGTTGCAGAATCATTCAGTATGTGAATCTACAATTAAATGAAGAAAACACAAATATTTTGTTAACCTTCAGATTTGTATCATCAGGTTTCACTTTTTAAAACTGTTTCAGTGGTGGGGGAAAAATGCTTACCTCAGTCTGTTAGGTGGCCCTGTGATTGAAGGTGTGGGATTTGAATTCACTAGTTACAACCGTGTTCCTGAACATTTTTAATGGTTAGCTGTATAGAGAGGAAGTGCAGTTTTATTGCATCTGGCATTGGTTTAATTTAGATCATTACATTTGTATTTCTTACTACCAAAGTAGTGTTTCTGGAAGTAGGATGATATTTTAGAGACCATATTGAGATTACTTTTGAGCAAAGAAAACACAGTATTTGTTTCTACTCAATTTGTTTTTGTTTAGTGGTTTAAGGGTGTTGGATGTATAGTAATATGGAATGAAGCATATGGCTTCAGAAACCTTTTTGCTTCCTGTTCCAGTTTGTTTTTAAATGTTAACTGAATCATGGCTATTTTGTCCTCAACGCTTGGCTTTCTACTGTTTCATTATCTATGTTTTTCCATATTTGAAAGCTATTGCTGATTTATTTTTTTCTCTGCTCTTCTTTGATTTTCAAAATCATATGTTGTCTTACACACAGTGTCTGCCACAGGAATCTGAAAGGAATCCTGGTGCAAACCTTGCGCTGCTATTGGGCTGTATATAGTATATTGTATTCAAGAAAATCTGGTCCCTGCATTTGATGGATTGCGCCCCAAGCGATTGGTGTCTGCTTTTATTTCAGCTTTCAGTCACACGTCCTGGAGATTACTGACTTGTGATCCGTTTTTGAGTCTGACATAAGGGAGACCTAAGTTAGTGATATTAACTTCGGGTGACTAAGTGTGATGAGGGAGAGCAGTTTTGTGCTTCACTTTCTTTTATTAGCCACTGAATGAGTTTCTGAATGTTTTGAACATGGGGCAAGTGCCAAGGGGTAGCTGCCTGAAATTCGTTTTAGAGAAAGATTGGAATAGACTTATGAGGTTGGTGAAATTAAGTTAATGACTATGTAAAAGTATTTGTTTTTTCCTTAGAGTTTGAGAAAGCATTTTCTGATAGATTTCTTCAATCTGTTGGGTTTCTTTGCTGTTTCTTGATGTCCAGATTAGCAGCAATGCCCAGGAACTCTTCTTTGCATCTTGGAAGAAATTGCTTATTATCTTTTTTGAATAGTTCTCTGTTATGACTGCAAGTATAAAACTCATTTCAACTTCATACCTGTACTCCACTTTTTGTTGTTTACCATTTTATTTGTTGATGTAGTAGTGTATGTTTCTGGATTTTGTCCCAAGGAATTTTAGCCTCCCTGATTTAATTGGAGATTCCCTTGATTTTTCTCTGTATTACTGTTGGAGCATAAATGCTAGAGCTTAAGAGTTGTCTCTAA